TTAATTTGTAAGGGGCCAGCATAAAGGATATACCACTTCCACTACAAATATTTTTGGAATATGTATTTGATAGTAGATTTGAGATGAAATTTGGACTTAGAAATTTCTATCGAGTGATAATTAATTAATTAATATAAATTTTATAAATGATTTTATATATTTTATTTAAATAGTGAAAGGATGTTATAACATGAAATATATCAAAATTTTTCTCCTGATGCATTTTTAAAGTTTCAAATTTAATATTTAAAAATTATATTGTTTTCAAAATTTCTACCAAAAAATAGTGTAGTTGATATATTAACTAAATTCATTTGATTAGATCCTACATTTCCTGCTCCATGACTCATTCCACTTGCTAATCTCCTCCATCTACACCTATAATTTCAAGATATTTATTTATATATTATTACTATAAAAGATTATTCATTGAAAATATATAAAACTTTTTTTTTATTTAAAGTAAAAAATTTAAACTTTCATATTTTCTAAATTTAGATTATTTTTATAAATTTTGTATTCAGGTGTTAAATATAAGATATTATAATTTTTGTTTAAAATCTTTCTCTCAGTTTAAATTTTATATCAAATATAGTAAAAGTACTTTAAAACTTTAGTAAATTATTTTTGAACGAGTTAATTGGATAAAAAAAAACTAATTTTTATAAATAAAAAAATCTACTTATTATTTCAAGTTTTATTATCTTACTTATTATTTCAAGTTTTATCATCTTACTTGTATATTTATGTATTTAAAATTATTTATGTACAAATTTGTGTCCCCAGTTCTAGATTTGTTATTAGATTCGAGTTCCGACCTCAAATGTGTGATAAACTTGAAGAGAGAGTCTGCATACGAGTTTGTTTCTAAGCTCAACACGTTTGGATGCTTAAATCGGATAAGGAATTCAATTTGTAGAGAGAGTCTCTTCAGGATGGTACGAATGGACTTACTCGATCAAGTTTGGTGGATCGGTCTGGTTTGGTTTGGTTAACTTGATTCAAGCAGTTCGACTCTGTCGCTTCTTTGCTTCATTATTTTAAATGAAATTTTTTTTTTATCTTTTTTAAATAAGAGCTATTAAATTTTCAGTGGTGCACTAAGATGCTGTAAAATAATATGGTAAAATGTATAGAATTAGGACCACTCTGTACCGTGAAGAACTTTAACAAAACCAAATATAATAATTTTCTTGGTGGGGATTGGATAAGGTGTGTGAGAACCATGATAATAAGGACGTATATATTGGAATGTACCATTCCATTTGGACACACAAGCCAGATCTCTTAGCTTGTCATAAATTCAATTTACTCCAAAGTTTTTTTATATTTTAATAATTTTTCAACTTAGTCGCTATCACGGTTGATTATTGTTAATTGATTAATGATAAATTTATCCGACGTAATGGTTAGTGAATTAGCGTAAATTTAAAAGAGAAAAATGTCATCTAAGAGAATAAAGTTTCTAATTTATCTTATTAATTTATAACAAATTAGTACAAGTTTAAAATTTTCTACACTTTAGGATCTTTTTTTCTCTACATTTCTCTAAATTTACTCATTAGTATGTCACGTGAGTTTAACATCATTCAATATTAACATTTATGAACATTTATGAATAGTGATGATCTAGGTTGAAAATTGTTAAAAACTAAATTGAAAAAGAAATCTAAATAGACTAAAACATTTATTTAGCCTATATCATATGTACTCCCAAAAACTTTTAGATTCAAAACATTATATATACAAAAAGTTACCCCGCAAAAAATGTAGTTTTAACCATTTTTTTAAGTACCTTCCCTTTTATACACGTCAATTAGGCTAGGCTTTTGCTCGAGGTTGGACAAGATTCTCACTTGAGGAAAAAAGAATCTAAACCTGATATGCACTACCAATATGAGTTCTTAATTATTCGAGACCCAAGTATTTTGGCTATTCAAGAGAAACAACACGAGAAATATTGTCTTACTTACTTTGGTTCTTCTACTCTTTTGAAGAGTCAATTCCTTTTGGGACTTGGTTTATGTGGAGATACATATTCGAACTCTTAATTTTATTGATCGAAAATATATGCTTTGCCCGATAACTATACTCAAATTGGCAGCGGTTTATAAGTTTGAAATTATTAAATAATAAACTATAAAATAACTTATAGTTTTGAATAATTTATTAAATAATAAGTTTGAAATCATTAAAAAATAACTTAGAAAATAAAATATATTTTTGAGTCAGTCACTTTAACTTGCATAGGAAGAAAAGGAGGCACGATGGGGATCCCACGTGGCTAATCAATCACAAGGCGACACGACAGCAGAAATTGGAGACAGGTGGGCCCCACACACCCCCTCCAATGGATAATATCGAATATGGCGTTTTGTTGGATTTCTAGGATGACGTGTCATCGCATCACACTTTCATTTATACTTCTCGTTCCGTCAAGTCACCGTCATCTTCTTTCCAGAAACCCAAAACCAAAAAAGGAAAACGGACGTCAGCGTTTTCCGTTAAGGCCACCGATTTTTCTGTGGGCTCCACCAAAACCGGCTTTTTGTCTTTGTTTTTCCGTTTTTAAAATTCCAATTTCGCCCCCGCTTGCGCTTCCATCGCCGCCGGACCAGGCGTCCCCTGCGTGATTAACTTCTCCGATGAACCTCCGGTTCATGTTTCTGTACTTTTTGTTTTATTTACGTCAATTTCTCGATCGTAATAATTAAAATATAATTCATTAAAAAGTTAACCAAAATAAAATATGACCATTAATAAATACTTTATTTTAAATAACATATTGCTTATCATTCATTAATAATTGGTTAAGATATTATTTACTATTTATTGGTTAAGATATTATTTATCATTCATGTTAGAAGTCTCAGTCTTTCACTTAATTAAATGAGATATGTAAATGTAATTAATGGACTAGTGCTAATTTAATGAATAATTAATACATGCTTAATTTAAAATCAGTTATTAATAGTTAAAAAAAAAAGTAAAATCAGAGAAATTAAATATTTATTTATTTTTTAAATTAGATTTTATTAGGTTGGATGTCAATATCTAATAGTAAAAGTACAATGCAAACAAAAAAAAAAAAGTAAAAAATATCTAATAATAATTAAGTAGAATCCCCACATTCCAATATTGTTTCTACTTTCTAGGTCAAAGACCAGCTCCTTTAACAAGCTTTTCAATATGCTATTTTTTCACTATTAAATGATTTGTTACACTCTCTTTTTCTTCCTCTTTTTTTTTTTTTTATAAATAGATAATTGTAAAAGGTATATATTAATAAGTGTCTCAAGCATGACACACAATTAATTAAAACATCCAATCATATGGTTAAAGAAAAAAAAGATGTTAATCCGAACATAGTTTGATAGATAAGACATCTTAGCTATTTTAAAATTTTGGATTGATCATTCATTTCTGTAATTGTTGATCTAAAAAAATAAAATAAAAGATAAAAAATAAAACTTTAACAATAGAGTGAATATTTGAGACGATAGACCTCCCTGCAATAAAAATGACATTTTGAAAGGTATTTCGTCAACAACTTCAGTGACTGATAATCTTTCATACTATTACTATTTTATCGTAGTCTAGGTAATGCCTCATTTGAACACTCTAACCGGCGCAACTTCAGCTAATAACACTTCACATGGATTCTCCTTTGCAACACAAATTGTGTGGTGTGTTGGCCTAAGGAGTTCCTCTGATGACAATTGCAACGAAAATATTTATGGAGAAAACTTAGCATTGATAAATGGTAAGAGTAGATATAGGTATGTGTTATCTTGTTTGATGCTATTCTGGTGTAAACGAAAGTTGCTCCTTAAATAGTAATTAGGTAAAAAATGTCAATGTCGGCAAGACATTAGAAATTTAGGAATGTTTGTCGTGGAAAATTAATCTCTTTTTAACTTACTCTACATGATTGAATCATGACAAGTGGTTTGATCATATTAAGATGTCATGTGTTGAAACGAGAATGGTCAACATATGAGGTGGGCCCTCCACACGTTGAGAATATGAGCATTGTTCAAGGTATGAAGGTGAATCCTTTTTTTTTCTAAAAAATGCTAAACTTAATAATTCAGTTAAAAGAGAGGTGATATGTTCGACGAGTTTTTGCCTAGACATTTATAAAATAATGCTGCTCTAAAATAACATTTCAATGCATTGAAATGACGAGTTTTCGCATAGACACTTATAAAATAATGTTGCTCTAAGTGTTGCTCTAAAATAAAATTTCTAATGCATTAAAATAAAATCTACCACTACAATAAAATAATCGTCCAATATGACTGGAATAATTGAAATTCATTGTCGCAATTGAAGAAATTTTTTTTGAGAAAGTCTAGGGAGTAGAACTTTAGACAAGAAGTTAGAGGAACCACACCTCAAACCTCAGTGTGACCTCGGCACCAACGACCAAAATCGAGTAGAGCTGTTCATATATAAACAAACCGCTCTCAAGTCCTCCCATTATCAAGTGGACTCCAATTTGTTGGCAGTATAAATAAGGAACCAGCCTCTGTACAGAGGTATGCATGTTTTTTATTGCTCATCTTAAGAACATCTCGGATCTCACTAACTTGAGCGTAAGAACTTGTTTCTTCCTCCAGGTATTTTGTTTACTTCAACACTTATCTAACCACCAGTCATGGACGTTTAATTTTTACCTAGCAACATATTACATAATTACATACCTCTAAAATGTTAAAACATTGTGTATAAAATCCACACATTCCCAAAAAAAAAAAACCATTAACTAATTTGAAGATATAAAATTGACAAAGAGTGCAAATTCTCAAAATTGTCTAAGATAACCCTTATTATAAGGGGGGTAACGGGTAAGTTTGTTGGGCTTTCGCACGTGCCTTCCTTACACGTGCCACTAGAACCGCTTTCTTCGCGCATATTGTTTCTTAGTACGACCGGTCCGAGTCTTTAAAAAATCAGTTTAATTTGAAAAAAAAAAAGAAAAAAAGGAGAAAAAAAAGCTGAATAAAGTTAAACGAAACCGGACGCGCCGACACGGTCGTGAAAACCTACAATCGGCGACGCGGTCCCGGTTTCGTGAATTTCACGCGCGGCTTCCCTCCATCTATAAAAATCTCTTTCTCCCCACTCTCTCTCTCTCTCTCTCAACTCTGCGATTTCTCTCTCTCGTCAACATTTCCTGATTTTTTCTCTCTTCGATTCGATTTCCGTCGCAGATTTCCGGACGCAATCCTTCGGGTTTTTTGTTTAACGGTAAGCGTTTCATGTTTCTAATATTCAAATCTTACCTTCGGTTTGTTAGAATTGTTCGGGAAATATGTGAACGAAATTTGGGGTTTGTTTGAAATTGAATGCTCCTTTCTTTCTCGTTAAGAAAACGAATGTTGGATCTCAATCCATGCGTTCATGGGCGTCGGGCGAATTTGTTCGGCTTCGATTTTAACTGCTTTTTCCTTTTTCTCTGTATGTGATTCTCGATCTCGGGCGATGATGGATTATTAGAAGTTTTGATGGGAAAACGTGTTGTGTAGGTTTTTGTTTCTGAGCTGCGTGATATTGTGGAGAAATATAAATTTTAGGTTTGTGGCGTTTGGTTTTCTAATTTTGTGTTTTTTTTTTCGTCTCAAGATTTTCAACTTCGAAGTTTCGAGATGATTTGGGATTTTGATATGATTTCTAGAAGTCCGGTCCTGCCCCCCACTCGCCCACGTTTATCTCGTTGGGCTAAATGAGTCCATATATTGGGACATTGATATGGATGTTTAATGTTTTATTCTTATTTGGGAATTTGCATTTGTTTTGCTCTGAAATTTGTTTGCTAGCTCATGTGGTTCGCATCGTTTTGGCAAAAATCTGTTCATCTTTGTGGTGTATGTGTTTTTGCCTCCTTCCTTAAAGAGGTTGTTCTAAGCCACGGTTGTGGTTTGTGACAGCCAAGCTTTGAATGGTCTGAATATCCTTGCATCTACTATTATTTCTTGAGATTTTTTCCAGAAAAAGTTTCCAAATGTTGCCACAAGTAAATGGTTTCTTACCTTGATGTCTTTGACATTGATCTCTGGTCTTGAGGCTATAGATCCGCTTTTGAATCTTTGATACCTGTGTCTTCTATTCTTTTTCACAATCCTTTGGTGGTAACTCTTTCCGATACATTTACTTGTGTTGGTTGTGGGCAGAACAGTGCTTGAATTTTGCATAGAATTGTATAACGATATGTTTTTTTTATCTCGTCTTTAGTTCTTAGTTTTTAATAACTATGCTTGCTTCCTTACAGTATTTTTGGTACGTTCATCACCCTTTTAGTTTTTAAAATGTTCATTTCAGTTTCTTTGGTATGTTCTTCACCATTTTTAGTTTTCAAAATGTGGCGTAGATTTTGAGAACTTTCTGAAAAGTAGATAGAAAAAAAATGAAGAAATACATAGGTGGCGAGCGTAGTGTTTTAAAAAATAGAAACAAAAATAGGACAGTTATCATACCAGGGTTGGTAGTATAAATGTTTCAATACCTTTTACCACTTCTTGATTGTTGAATATTTGATTTCATTTGGACTCTAGCTCATTAAAGTGCCATTTATCCTCTGTATTTAAATTCCCTGGTTAAGAATCCATCATTTGATTCTCTTTCCCTTTGCAATTTGCATCATGAAAGCAATTTCTTAGCTTTTTTTGAAGCTCTTCTACCTCGGAAGCTTAGTTTCTCTCTCTTATCTTACTTTAATGGAAAACGCAAGGTGCAAGAGACAATTTTAAGGAATTTATTGTTTTTACCACTTAGCATAGCATTGTTATTTATGAGCCCAAATTGGTATCTGTCTCTAATATCTTTCCATCTTTAATTGTGGCCGGCTGATTTTGTTCACTGATTTATTCATTTTTCAATGATCTCATTGCCCCGATTTATTATTTCTTTGACAGAACGTACTTCTGCTATGGAACAAACCTACACCACGCCCGAGGCATACTTTGAGTCTGAACAAGATGTGTCTCTCAAACAAAACTGGAAATCCATCTCATCACAGCCAACAGTCTCAGACGATGCGCACGGTTGCTTCGATTGCAACATTTGCTTAGACTCGGCAGCGGAGCCTGTCGTCACCCTCTGTGGTCACCTCTACTGCTGGCCATGCATTTACAAGTGGCTTAACGTACAAATCTCCAGCAATGAACCTGAGAACGTGCAGAACTGCCCCGTTTGTAAGGCTAGCATCACCCCCTCCTCTTTAGTTCCCCTCTATGGCCGTGGCAAGTCGAACACGGATTCTGAATCCAAGAAGTCTCACTTGGGTGTGGCTGTGCCTCGAAGGCCACCGCCATCTGCAACTAACACACTGCACAATTCCAATGCAACCTCTGCATTGCATCCAAGCCAGGACCTCCATCCAAATTACACCCGCTCACCCTCGCACCCGATCTATCACCAACAATACTTCCCCCAGGCCTATGGTGACATTGCGACATACACACCGTCTTATCTGGGTAATGCCGTGATAACAAGTCTGTTAAACCCAACGATTGGGATGTTTGGAGAAACGGTTTTCACGAGAATTTTCGGTAGCGTGGATTCGAACTTGTTGCCATACCCGCCTTACAACAACTCCATCCCAGGAAATGGAAGTAGCAGAATGAGAAGGCAGGAAATGCAGCTTGATAAGTCTCTTAATAGAGTTTCAATCTTTCTATTTTGCTGCTTTATTATCTGCCTTTTGTTGTTTTGAACTTGGCAATCGAGTTGTATGTATGGAGAACCACATGATATAAAGATCAAGCTCTAGTAAATTTTGCTGGATGATTTTACTGTGACAGTCGTCTACATATATGTACATAATGTTTTTTTTTCTTCCGGGAGAAATTATGTACATAATGTTAGCTAATATCACTCATTATTTTGTAATTTCGTCTGGTGTATGTGTGGATTGCCATTTCTTCCCCAGTGAATTAAGAATTGAGAAGTTCGAATGAGGAAGAGTTATATAAATTTGAGTGAATATTTGGCTTTAAAAGGATAATTATTTTAAAAAAATTTGTAAAAAGGATGATTTTGGAAGTCTAATTATAATGCACTTGAAAAGTTTCACTTTAACTATAACATTTTAAAGTCGTCAGTAAAGAATTGTTCATGAAGTTATCAACAATGTCTTCATTTTCGTTCAATCGTCTTAGTTCATGAGGTTATTAACAATATCTTCATTTACGCGATTGTCTTTTCCTTAAAATAAGAATAGACCACATAAAGATTATACCTGAAGGGATAAGCTTATCAAGGGCGGTGAGACTCCGTTTATCAGGGGTAGCATAGCTGCTTGATCGACGAGACTTTGTTACTCGAGATCCACCATATGTTGGGGTTGAGAGTCGGGTGATGGGTGGACTATCTACACGGTTCAAGCAAGAAATAAAACGTTGTTTTCTACGGTGGACTCACCACGAAGACTATTTATTATTATGAACCTCAAATTTTGTTTATAACCTGAGAGGGAGACAGACAGATTTTTGTTTTTTGATCGTGGGAGGAAAAAGTAAAGAAAATTAATATTTAGTATTCCTTTTTTCAAATTCTAAACATCTAAGATATGACACAATTTTGTATTTGATTTTAGAAGGGGTGGCTACAAAAGAGTTTTTCAGATAACCTAAGCTAACATTTTAAAATGAAACTTTTGAAATGGGAAAACATAATTGAGACCAAAACCTATAAATTTGTAACACTTTATTATATAATTTAACCATTTTTTTTTGAGAATATATAATTTAATTAAAATTTAAAAGTTAAACCCTTCATAATATGTTTAATCTCACCGTAGGCAAGCAATGATTATCCTTAAAATCATCATTAGTCTACACCATGATTATGCTCTTCACTATAAATTGTTTGACATTTTTATATAATTAATATACTCTAAATGAAAAAGAAAATATGGGTAAAAATTTGAAACGAAACTTCCCAGTTTCTTAATGCTCTTTTTTTTCTTAGAGCACATTGATTTGTTCTAGGCTTCTGGTGTAATGTAATCCCTCCCACGAATTGATAAAGTAAACTTTATTATCAACCGTCGGATTATCTCGATCAGTGACGCGAGTAGAGTTTTCGACAACATTGACGGCGATAGCAATAGGGAATGGACAGCGTAAACCGACAAAGATCAGAGACTTTCAAACATAAATGTCACTGTCACTGTCAGATTAGTGGCGGAATAATCAGATTTAAGAAATGGAATAAGATTGATTAATTGAATATATAATATCAGATGTTCCCATACCGGTTCAATCCTTAGGAAAAAGAAGCGTTCTTTATAGAAATTTAATGTCGCCCATCATCAATTATTCTACTTTCTTTTTACTCACTGATGTCTTCTTCATTAATTTTCAAGGTGTTTTAGTTTAATTGACTGTTATCTGGCTGAGTCCCACCAATTAAAGCCTTGTTTTTTAATTCTTAAGCTTGAAACGCTTCACTAAAACACTACAGTATCTTTGTCCAAAAGTCCCAAAAGAAAAGAAAAATTAGCAGAAAGATTCCAAATCTCAAAACCCTTTTCTTTGGGTTGCTTTTTCAAACGAAGCTTTACTCTGCCACACCATTGCCTTGCCCCCATTTCTCTCACTCTAACCCAGCTCTTTGTATCTTTCTTTCTTTCACTAGATTCTCTCTCTAGTTTCTTCAGTTTGGAAGGGGAAACCAGGGTTTAGTGAAGATGAGGGGTCCTTTAGGGGCAGTGATTGGGAGGTACCCTTCCGGTGATGGGAGTGCTCAAATGGGTGGGATCATTAGGCACAATAGAAAATGCAGAGATATTGTGTTTCTTGTGATCTTTATAGCTTTCTGGGTAGGTATGATTGTTAACTCAAGCTTTGGATTTAACCAAGGAAATCCATTAAGGTACGGAATCTGGTGCTACCCTCTTCTTTTACTTCACTACTTTGAATGGCTACTGTTTATTCTAGCACATTTTCTCTCTTATTTATGGAGCTCCCAGAAAAGATCTCTAAAATGCTTTCCCATTTGGCAGATTTCCCTGCCCCTCTCTTTAGTTTCTCTATTTCCTTCACTTCAAAGAGTTCCAAACTTCTTGTTGTCTTAACTTTTGCTGGTTCTAGTCAGCACGAGCTCAGACTTCTCTAATTTACTCGTTTATTAGCATATCTGGCTGTGTCATTGTTCTTTTACTTACTTCACTGTTTGCAATTTTGTCAATCTTTCCTGTACTGCTAGAACTGGTGGCACGTCTTTGAATAGAGATGGTGCACTGGCTGATATTTTTCCACTGTTTGGGGATTTCAAGCCAATTTCTGTTTTGTTTCTTCATGTCGACATGGAATTCAACCATATCGCCAGTACCCACCTGATATTGAGTTATGTAGTATAACCAACACAACAATTAAAAGCCCTTTCAGGAGATTGGAGGAGCTCCCAAACACACTAGTAGTTTTTGGAGGAGTAATTTCTACACGATGACTGTCTTTGTCATGCATATTGTTGAACTTGTGACATTCTTTTGCGTTCATTCTGCCATTGAGTTCTAGAACTTGAAGCAAAAACTACATGATTATAATTTCTGCAAGAGCTTATTTAAAGGTTTCCCAGCATGTGTTTTTGTAAGTTTGTTTCTACATGATTTTATGATCTCTTTTCTTCTTACTTCCCCTATTCTTTGTTAAATATTCTCCTCTATATGTTCACCTTTTTATGCGCTTGTTTATCAGGCTTACATATGGACTGGACTATAAAGGAAATATTTGCGGTGACAAGCATGCTAATCCTGGCCTCCGAGAATTGGAACTTAGATATTGGTTGAATCCTAATCAGGTTTATCAAAGTGGTCTGAAGGACAGTCAATTTAAGTTGGCTGATGCTCGAAGTATATGCTTGATGGATTGTCCGATTCCTTCGGAAGACTCTCTAAATTGGGTTTGTGATTACCCAGAAGGTGAAATCCGACTCTCGATGGACGATTGGATAGATAGGAACTATGATTATTTTCAGTTCCTTACGCCTGAGATGAGAAACAGCTCTGTTAACCTTCAGGGTCCTTGTTACCCTGTCATATTTCCCAGTGTAAATGGTTAGTGATATGGATTTTTCCTGATGCCATTACGTTTGCACTTTTTAATACGGTATCGAGAACTTCTTGTTTAGATTCTACTGGATGCAGCTAATCTTTCAAGTTTCAACCTTATTTGTTTGGTTTACAATGTCTGTTCCCTGCATGTCCATGTATTGATTAATTAAAATATCTGCCTCTTCCTTAACTTTCCATTAATTTTCAAGCCCAGTAAGAGTGATGTATTTTGCAGTTTATTGGAGCTGCCAGTTTCTCGCTCGACCCTCTAATGTATCATTACGACATTGGAAGCAGATGGGTGGAATGAACATAGATGAGGATTTGATCATAGATAAATCCATTCATAAGTTGACCAACTCTCGGTCATCTGTCTTAAAGGTGTATAAGATTTTTTTTCTTTAAATTATATTTTAACCATGTAACATAATTTCTGCATTCATGCATTAATCTTACCAAAATTGCACAACTTTCACTATTAAATCACACGTCTACTTATTAAATAAATGCAAAGTGTCACACATTTTAGCCCATGAGTTCATTTTTTCAAATTTCAAGGTGTTCTGTAACAGTATTTTTACCACTCCGTCTGAAGGTTTTCTATCATGTCTTACCATTCTAAAATTTTAACTTGTTCTTTGCTACTCTACTCAGAGATGCATGGCAGATATTGGGAAGGCGTGGCCGGTATTGATTGTTTGCGGAGGAATTTTGCCTCTATTTTTGGCAGTGATTTGGTTGCTAATGATTCGCCATTTTGTTGCGGCAATGCCGTGGGTAACAGTAGTCCTATTCAACATTCTCATTGTGTCAGTCACGATGTTTTATTACCTCAAAGGTGAAAAGCATGTTTACTTTAGTTTTCTACTAATTATTCAATGAGCTCGTGTTTTTGCTTCAGTCGAACCTGGAAAATATCTGGAAATCCTATAATTATTGCAGAAGTGTTTGGTACAAAGACTGAAGTTTGCATCATCTTCCATTCTTAAATAATTCTTTTTAAACAAGAAACAAAACTTTTCATTGAAAAAAAAAACAAGAGCTCAAAAGATACAAACTCCAATGAGGGAATAAAGACAAAAGTAAAAGTTAACAAGAAAAAGGACAAATACAGATCTCCCTATTCATAGAAATAACTTGTAAAGAATAGTCAGAAAAAAGCTTGGAAAAAGCACAACCATTGGGGGCTTTTAGCCTAGATGGTTCAATACGATCCAACTAATGCCTCTGAGTATCTTTAAAAGCTCTTTGATTCCGTGTTAACCAAAGTTCTGAAATAATAGCTCTAACCGCATTGATGCACAATAAATTTGGCCTTGGAGCCAAAGAAAGACCTCCAGTAAGTTGGAGAGCATTGTTATGAGAATCTTGAGAGATAACCCATTGTAAATTAAAGATCCAGAAGAGAAGATTCCAGCAAGACAAAAAGCATTGGGCAACTGAATAATACATGATTGTCTTGTTCTGAAGCTGCAAAACACAAATAACATACTGATGGCATAATATAAGAAGAGGGTTTTTTCTTACGTAGAACATCCGAGTATTAAGCTTGCTGTTAAGTAATACCTAAAGAATAATGCTGATTCTTTTGGGACTATTTGGAAATAGCTGAGAACAAATATTTTGATATTGGATAGGAGATGCATCAGCTTTGATTCGATTTGTGATCTTATCTATAGTTGGAATCAAACTTCCGATATTTGATTGAATTACCAAAACTTCAATGTTGTGATGTTCTACTCTTTATTTTAGGTTAAAGTTGTTTCTTCATCTTCTTGT